CATAACTGCTAAAAAGAACGCCTCGGTCCTAGGTGCTTTGACCAGAGGTGCTTTGACCATAGGGGGTTTTGACCATAGGGGGGTTTGACCACAGCGGGGCTTTGACCACAGATGGGCTTTGACCATAGGGGGTTTGATCACAACGAGGTTTTGACCACAGAGGGGGGTTAACCATAATATATAGGTTTTAAAATATAAATTATAAAATGTTATTTGATTTAAATGTATGACACAATTAATACGATTTTATACATGTTTTCTGAGAGTACGTTAATAGAACTTAACATGTATTTTAAAAAGTCAAGAACGATATTTTAGTCTCCACATAAAGGCTGGTGCTAGGCCTCATAGATTTATTTTAAATATAATTGGAACACAAATAATGCGACATATAACAAGTTACACAAATAAATAATGTAGATGTACTATATATAAAGGATAAAAAATGATTAAAAAAAACTTGCCAACAATATATTCAAAGAAGTAATACTTAAAACGAGCCGCTATTTAGTTGTTTTATTTTCTACTTTTCAGTAATTCATAATTTGCGAATTCGACAGTACCAATGCTGCCACTGAAAATATTTCCTTTAAAACACTATCAGATGGTCGATAAGGACGATACCCCCTCCTTTCCCCCACCCCTGCACCCCCCCCCCCCCCCCTTGAAAGCAAACTCGTCTTAGTTACCTCCCCTAACTTTAAAATCGTTTCAAACTACATTACCTGCCCCTAATAGCAGCCGTCACTAAACCCGGCTCTACTATTGTAAACATTTAGCGTGAACCACAGTTCACCGGACCATGTAGGGGTGGGGGTGGTAGGGAGCGCGCTTACAGCTTGGTGTTTTCTATCGTCTCCAAGAAGAGAATTATATATACAGATGGTTAACTAAATGACAGATGTGCTATAGCACTCAAATATATCAGTACATCTGTTTGACCATATGTCTGGACAGCACGTTGTACTTTTTCGTGCAGCATCTTCTCAGCTGGGTAACTTGCTCCCGCGACACCCTATCATCTAAACCACTCTATGTCAAAACAATGGAGAATTTTGGAGAGTATAGCACGTCAAAATAAACCGGGAGTGATATCCCCTAAACTTTCTCGAATATTCTTATATAACTTTAAATATAGACATCATTTTTAATTACGTAAACTTTTAAAAATAGAATAGAATCTCAAAGAAAAAAGAATTGCGCACCAAGTGAACGCCAAAACAAAAGGTGCATAATAGGTGCAATATTATTAGTACTTTATAAATTTTCATGCCTTTTTCGAGAAATCGAAAATAGTGTAAATAGTACTTCTTGTCAAAAGAAAATTACTCAAAATTTGACAGAGGCAGAAAATTAGATCTTTCACTTACATTTGAAATTTCATTTATCCATCTGAAATAGTAGTCAAGTTATAGGCTTTTGAAAAATTCAAAGTAGAAAAAGTACCACTTCCGGTTATCGGAAATTGCTCAAAAGTTGATCAGGATCTACGATTTTGATAAATTACTATATATGAAATTTCATCAACCTAGCTGTAGCGGTACTCAAGTTATCGTGTTTACACACAGACAGACAGACACACAGACATACGGACAAGATTGCAAAATTATGTTTTTCCGTATCAGTGAGGTGTAAAACGTCGAGATTTGTAAAAATCTGGGGGTTTTTTTTTGCACAATTACAAGACTTTCTCTATACGAGAAAGTAAAAAGGTAAAAGAACTTTGTTGTATCGTGGCCATGAATTTTGGTTTCCCAGAGAACGCCATGACGGGTCACGCGTTTGGCGGTGTACGAATTTATACATGATGATTTAACATATTATTACATCATGTCGCAATTTAAAATATAATTTAGCAACTTTTAGAATAAATCCTTACCATAATTGGACAAACCACCTGTGATCATAGACCCTATATGGACAAAACACCTGTGATCAAAGCCGGACACAACGCTTGTGATCAAACACCCGTTGACAAACCGCCTGTGATCAAAGACCATCGGTTGAGAAAACACCTAGGGTCAAACCCCCTATGATCAAACCCCTATGGTCAAAGCACCGCTATGGTCAAAGCCCCGCTGTGGTCAAACCCCCTATGGTGAAAGCCCCTATGGTCAAAGCCCTGCTGTGGTCAAACCCCCTATGGTCAAACCCCCTATGGTCAAAGCACTTGTGGTCAAAAGTCCGCGCACCACCGCCTCCAGCTCAACACATTGACATACCATCGAGCCAAAAAGAATTAGACATTAACACTAAAACAATACACAGACACAAGGATTAATTGGTAAAAAAACATTGCATGATGTCTGGAACAATAATAAAACAGAAAATAATTGTCTTCTTAAAAATGGGAAATAAACTGATAAAACTGGCGAGGCATCACGCTTCTACCACTCACCAGTAAAATATTTTGCAGAATCATTCTAGACAAAATCTCCAGATAGATGTCGATCTTTCTGTCTAAAGTGTGTTTTTCAAATAGTTAATAGTTTGGTCTAGTGTCTATACTATAACATGAAAAAATGCATAGTAAAAAAAAAAGATAGGCAATAATAGTCACAAATTAAAACATGTTCCGGGCGGGCGGACACCGGTAAAAGTAGGTTTTCTTTATAAATTCCATTTCGTTGGCGGGGGGGGGGGGGTGAGGGGGGGGGGTAGCATGGAAGAAACTCTGATGTCAGTTTTGATGACAGCGTTTGTCCCGCTCATTAACGTTAACGATATTTGATTGGATAATGTAAGGATTGTTACATAAAATAGATTTAGAGTAGCGTCCCTTTTGTTTACATGTTTTCATTACCCTTCAAGCTATAGTCCATTTTAATTATATTAAGATTAAATAATGTACATAATAGTGCACACAATTCTCTAGCATCGGAGGGAAGTGACATATAGCGCAGGAAATTTAGAGGTTAGGTAGGGCATAAAAGGTGGGTTGGGAAAGTTTGTGGGTCCAATCTTGTCACAGGCCTTTCTCCTACCTTTTATATTACATATACAAAATCAAAAGACAAGCCTTTTTCTTGCAAGTTCTCATATTTATTTTGTTTCACACAGGCACCATGTCCACCAAGACCTCGCCATTTTCTCGCCCCCTCTTCACTTGTTCCTTTCGCGCATGCGTACCACCATTGTCTCCCTGATGCAATATCGCCTTTTACAACACACACACTCCCAAGATACAATCCACCAACATTTCACTGTTATACGCCCTTTCTCCCGTTTAAAAAAATTAATTTATTAATTTTTTTTGTTATATATAGATCACATTCACTATAAAATCTTCTTAGTTTAGTAAGAACAAATGACTCTAACTAAGGAACATCTCCTCTTAGTGTAATAAAAAAGAAATCATTAAATCTCACTAAGGAATATTGCCTCTTAGTGTATCTCAAATAAATCTAACTGAGGAAAATTCTATTTTAGTAGAACAAAATTATAGCTATGCAATAGCTCCCATGGGCAAATCATATCCTTGATTTCCCTACTTCACTGGCTGAGGTAAACTCCTCATCATAACCTATGTAAATTACCACATCTGTCAGGTCATACTGCCATAATCATGTTCATTACTTAACAAGATATACAGTATACATACAAATCATAAAAATACAACAAAATGTATGTTCATTTTCATTACTAACTTAAAATAGTGGTAAAACATATTTATAAAGGTCATATTATGACTTATTCCAATCCTGCTCACATTTGTAAAATGTTAATGTTCTCTGGAAGTACACATCACATACTACATTATTCAAAATTTCCTTATAAGGATTGGCTGATATGTCTCAGGTCATTATTTTCTTTAGTCAGTTCCATGTTTGTTTTTTCATCTTCAATCTGTCTTGACAAAAAATCATCTAGTGTATTGTGCTGTCCCTTTACAGGTTAGCTTTCCTTGACATAATTTTCCTAGACAAATCCATTTTCCTTATGAAAGCAATATTTACCAAGTCAAAATTCCAAACACATAGTTAAGCTCTGTTAATTGAATACAACTTTAAACAACAATAGGATCCATTAGCATTACCATATAAGGTATAAAAGAAATACACAACTGTTCTGTTCATAAACATCAGTTAACAAAATACAAGGTCCAATAGGAAACTAAACATTTGTTAACACATTATGATAACAAACTCCATGCTTTACTTTAAATGGTTTTCTAACTTACAAATTCCCTTAAAGTCAATAACATGTCAAATAATGTATGTTAGTAGTCCTTCAGTAGTTCTAATTTCTTTATTTCCAACCTTAAATCCTAGGAATTCTACTGTATCCACTCCCACATGCAGTTTCTCTGGTGCTATGGTAACCCCATGTTTTCTAAGTCTTTCTAGTAGTTCTTTTAGTGTTTCTATGTGTTCTGCCCATGTGTTATTATGTATGCATATATCATCAACAAAGAAGACCAGGTTTTTCATTCCCTCTGTCATTTTATTCATGAATGTTTGGAACGTGGCGGTACTGTTCACAAGTCCGAACGGCATCACCTTCCATTGACATAGACCTTTGCTCGATGTAAAGGCGGTGTATTGTCTTGACTCCTTTTCCAGTCCTATTTGCCAGAAGCCTCTGTTCAAATCACAAGTGGTGAAAATTGAGGATTTACTGATAGTTTCCAAAATGTCTTTAGGATCATTCATGGGTTCAGCATCTATCTTGGTCCTTTTATTCAACTCTCGATAGTCACAACATATCCTTACTTTGTTGTTCTTTTTTCTTACTATTACCATGGGTGATGAGTATGCTAATTCTGTTCTTTCTATTTGCCCAGATTCAAGTAGAAAATCCAGTTCTGCTTCAACAGCTTCTATATAAGCAACTGGTACTTGGTAATGCTTCCCTTTCATAGCACTATAATCAGTCAATTCTATTTTGTGTTGAATTGTTTCAGTAAAACCCATTTCTGTTGTAATCACATCCTTGTATTCATTTATCATTTTGTCCATTATGTTTTTCTCCTTCACTGGGATATGATAAGTCTTAATTTCTTATGTATTACAGCTTTCACTTATTATAGTACAGGCCATATGTTCCTCTTCTATCAGTTTCTCTGGCTCTACATATAATTTCTTTATTCTGTCTATGTGTATAGAAGTGTTATTTCCCTTTATGTTTATTTCATAGTTTACATCAGCTAGTTTCTTGATTACTTCAAAAGGTCCTTGAAATACATCTATGTTTTCTCTGTCTGGCAATTTGACAAAAACTAAATCTCCTCTTTCAAAAGTTCTTAAATATCTATGTTTGTTTTTTATATTTCTGTGCCTTTCACTGGCTAACTGTGCATTCTCTTGGGCCGTCTGGACACCATAAACTATTCTCTCTCTAGTCTGGTTTACTAGTTCATGAGAATCAAATTCCTCTTCCTGTTTATTTAATAATTCAAGTTCAAAGGGAGAAAAACCTGTTGACTCATGTTTAGTCTCTCTGTTTGCGAATAGTACTTGAGATTGGTTACTTTTACTTTTTTCTAACTCTAACTCATGCTGTCTCTGGTTGTCTTTGTCTTCGGCCTCCATTTTAACTTTTGCTAGATCTAGTTTCCTATCAGCCTCCCTTTTAACTTTTTCTTTCTCAGCCTCCATGTTAACTCTTTTCTTCTCAGCCTCCATTTTACGTTTAGCCTTCTCAGCCTCCCATTTAAGTTTTTCCTTCTCAACCTCCATTATAAATTCAGTGAACTCCCTCTCTAACAATCTGTCTTCCCTTTCCATTTCATCCGCTACCTTCTTTTCTACCCAATTTGCCTTCTCTGCCCCAGTGTATCCTAACGAATAAGCCAACTCAATGTATTTGGCATAGAACTCGAACTCCATCGTAATGATGCAAGAACAGTTATTCAGTTACAATACTAAATCTAGATTTAATTCTTTCCTTCACGGTGTAGAGCACCGACCACTTCTGACACCAAAATGTCACAGGCCTTTCTCCTACCTTTTATATTACATATACAAAATCAAAAGACAAGCCTTTTTCTTGCAAGTTCTCATATTTATTTTGTTTCACACAGGCACCATGTCCACCAAGACCTCGCCATTTTCTCGCCCCTCTTCACTTGTTCCTTTCGCGCATGCGTACCACCATTGTCTCCCTGATGCAATATCGCCTTTTACAACACACACACTCCCAAGATACAATCCACCAACATTTCACTGTTATAAATCTCTAATAGGCAGCCTAGGTCTCGTTCGTTTTTTCAAGCAAGAAAGAAGTTAATAGTATACGGACTTCGTGTTAGTTTATTGTCGACCCTGTCCTCACCTCACATCACAACTGATAAATTCCTACAAAATCATATACTTAATAAATTAAACCATTTACCTTAAACATTGGGGCCTACATGTTTAGGAAATCAGAACGCCAATTATTTAAACTTATTTTTTTTAGGTAAACCAGTTTTTTCAGAGTTTTAATTTGAGAATCAAAGACACACTCGAGACTTCTCTTGGTGAGGATAATTTAGATAAGGTGAGTAGAGATTGTAAACAATTATTTTATACCAAAAGTTTTAGCTGTGTATAGAATGTACAGACCTGTTTCAAACAAACTGTCAGAGAGAAAAGGAGGTTTTTGACTAGACCTGATAGTTGGGTCCAGACAAAAAGATTGTTATGACCACATTTGATATAAAAAAAACTGTTTGCCCTACCCACAAACCACACGCAAGACCTTCCTCCTCTACAGCTGTATTCTTATTTTAAACGAGAAAAATGGCCCGTTGAGGAAGGATACAACGGGCGCTAGGTTGATATTGCTGTCTATTTTCTCGGTACTTTAATTTATACAAAATATTGTCATAGGCATATCCCTAAACCATGCACCTAATCTCATTCATGACAAAAGTCGCATTTAGAGTTTCTTTCAGGCAACTCTACTTGGGAGGAGGGGGCTTCACCCCCCCTCCCCCCCCCCCTCCCCCCACACACATACTCCAAAACATGTCTACCGTCCCATTCAACGAAATATAATTATATACTTTTTCCAGTGTCCGCCCCCCTCCCAGAAAATTCAACCCCCGCCCCCAAAAATTTCAAGTACCCCACTCCTCTCCGGGGAGGAAAAAGTCTGAAAGAAACACTGGTCGCATTTGTAGATCATACAAACTAAAGGAAGAATCTAGGCGGGGCTTCGCCCCTACCTGAAGAGATGCTTGAAAAAAAAAACTGCACGCTAAACACTTTTTAGATTAGAAAAAGTTCTCCCTCCGGGGAGGAAAAAGTCTGAAAGAAACACTGGTGTCGCGCGTAGCTACTACCCGAAGAATTTCATTAAAGAAATTGCAAGAAAACCACTTTTTAAATTAGACACATTAATTAGGCGGTAATTTTATTATAGAGTATCGATAAAGAAATTTCTTTTGAGTTGGGGAGGGGGAGGGGGGCTCAGACGTTCCTACGCGGGGGTGGTGCTTCGCCGCTACCCGAAGAATTGTATGAAAGAAACTCTTCACGCAAACCACTTAGATTAGACAAAATTGCCTTTTTATTCAATGTTTACTCGAGAATCAATGACGTCATATTACTGTGTGCACTCTCCGGCTTGATATTATTTTCTACTATATGACGTCATATTTCGTTTTCGTTTTACTGTGTAAGTTTTTAAATTGCTTATGTTTTCTCTAGAGCGTTCTTGTCAGATAGATACATAGATAGATAGATACACAGACAGCAAAACTATTAGTATTAATTGCTTGCGTATAAAAACGTCTTCATAATCCCAGTGGTGTAGCGAATCGGGTGTCAGCCCCGCTACGTAAAAAAATTCTATACATATATATAGAGAGGCCTATATATATATATATATATATATATATATATATATATATATATATATATATATATATATATATATATATATATATATATATTATTCACAAAGTTATTAGAATTGCAAATGCTTCCTTAATAGTATTAATACATGTACGTGTACGTGTACGTGTACGTGTACGTGTACGTGTACGTGTACGTGTACGTTTAACGTTTAACGTTTAACGTTCACGTTCACGTTCACGTTTACGTTTACTTGTAAGTGTAAGTGTAAGCGTAAGCGTAAGCGTAAGCGTAAGTGTAAGTGTATCCTAATCTTAATCTTGATCTTGATCTTGATGGGTTTTTTTATTTTTATGTTAGCACTGGCGTTGGCGTTTGTGCTCGTGCTCGTGTTCAGGTTGACGTTGACTTTACAAAACATTAGTTATGAATAAAACAAGAGACGACACATTTCTTAGGATATAAATTCGTATTAGACATGATGAATTATGCCTATTGCCTCTATTAAAATATTGTATGTACCTTTTTAAAAATTTATTTTATTTTTATATAGCAACAGCTTCATCATTTGCTAAGGGAAGATGGCAAAGATAAAAACGTCCTAACTGACGATAACATAAAGCGGAAACTTGAGGTATGTAACTCTAGATTGGATGTCACTTTTGCGAAATTCACGGTGTCAATCCCCCAAATCACACACACACACACACACACACGACGCACGCATGCACGCACGCACACACACACACACACATATATATATATATATATATATATATATATATATATATATATATATATATATATATATATATATATTATAAAGCAATTTTTGTATGTCTGTTAGTTTCTCTGTCTTTTATGCATTACTACACCTTTATCACATCATCATGAAACCATGGGAAGTTGTTATGAATACTCCTACGTAGATTTCTGCGGGAAAAAAATTCAATTTCGCACGGGCGGCGCCCCGGGAGGGTGCGATTTGGCGCCAAGGGCTATCCCGTAAACGCTGTGGCACCTACTTTCGTTTTTAACATTGCAATAGACTAATGATAAGATAGGGTGTTATGGTCGTTCGCTTTATAAACTGAATCATGCGCGTCCCCCAACGCTCAGGTAGGGTGTGATTTTACTCCAGGACTATCTCTCGAGGCCTATGGCACATACTCTCGTTTTAAACAGTGCAATAGACTATGGATAAGATTAGGGTATTATATTCGTTAAGTAAATTGAATAAGGCACGTCCGCCGGAACGCCGGCAGGGTGTGATTTGGCGCCTTGGAATATATATATATATATATATATATATATATATATATATATATATATATATATTGGACTTTATATCGCTTGAAAAAACAATGAAAATAAGGTGAAAGAAAAAACAAGTTAATAAAAAGTCTAGTGACAATTGAAGCGCAATTTTCTTATGTTATCCATAACAATTTTAAATCGAGATAAATCATATAATCAGCAAATAAATAATGCAACAAAAGTAGTTTTAATAATTCAAAACAAAATAGAAAAAATCCTTTCGAACCTCCGCTCATTCGCTATGGTAAAATCCTTTCGAACCTCAGCGCTTTGCGCTAAATCATCCTAGGCCTACACGACGCTCAGTTTAAAAATTCTTAATTAATTTTTTGTGGCCGAACGAAAGGATATTTTTGAAAACTTTCTTCAGCAATATTGTTCTAAATTATGGCAGGAATCAATTGGTAAATGTTTCAAGTCGCTAAGTGGTCTGGTTGCCGCGATATGGGCCAAAAACTGCATTTTTTTCTAGGTTTTTTGGCTTTACCGGGAAATCCAGGAAGGAATTCCGGGAATTTTTTTGGCCTATGTTCATCCTCGGAACTTGCTTAACATATTTGCTTTTGGAACTAGTCCTCGATATTGCTTTGTTGAGGAGGAGATACGACTTAAAGACGACTTAAAGCTGCGGACACACATCCATCCATACATTCCCAGAAATGACGAGTTAATAATCGCATTTCTCCAGAATGGAAATTGCGCTAAAACACTTTTATATCCTCCCTGTCCCGTCTAACGTCTAATAACCTCACAGTAGGTCACTACCAGATCTGCTATTCCTTGTAATATTAACAAATAATCATATATCAAAATAATTGTTTAAATACTGTTTCATTAAAAAGCAACGGCAGAAAAAAGTATCAACCTTAAATAAATAAGATAAGAAATAAAACATTCAACACATTTCCATTATACCAAAATTCGTGTAATGTCCATACATACATACTTTCATACACAATTTTTTATCTGAATGGGAAAAAAATCCATTAATCATACCACAAAGCATGCATTACAAATAAATACAATAATTGACTATATAATACGAGTATCGACATAAGTCAACTTGTAAAATTTACATTTACAATTATTATTTTACTGGTTTCACCACCTCTTTCACACACTTTAACACTCAGAGGCTGTAAAATTATAATATGCTTGCTAAGGAATTACGCATTGGTAATTTAATTAGCAGTCATGTTGATTGGTAATTTTCTAATTTGGTGTCATCCCAATCCACTTCGGCGGAAGTGTATTTTTTTCTAATCAGTTAGTTAATATACTATTTATTATGTGCTAGTTACTTTTGGTGTCACGTCTTTCCTCCGCCCCCAACCCTTATGTCTAATGGCGTCGATTTGTGCAATAATTATATTGATCCAGCAAGACGTTGTTATTCTAACATCTATTAATTCAAGCGGAAAAAAGCACTGCTTTCTTAGTAAATATTCAATGAGGTGTCCTCCCCTCCGTCGTTGATTGACGTATCAGTTATTAGATATATCCAACAAAACCTTTATTTCTCTGAGAAGTATGCAGCATTGTCACTTGGTGTCGCCAAACCCCCCCCCCCCCCCCATACTGTGATGATAGCTATCAAATGTTGCGCAGTTATGACGTTTATTTGTAGTTGTTTATTAATACAGCTTGATGTCAGAGGCGTAGCGATGGGGGGGGGGGCAGGGGGGTAGCCTACATATGTCCCCGGGCGCCGACCTTAGGGGGCGCCAAAA